CTCAGTCTCTGATGAAAATTGAATAAAAGTGAAACATGTTAGATTGATAAATCTTTCCTATTTGTTCTTTATCTTATTCTGTTCTATTTCAATTCATATTTGATCTAATATATTGAACTCTCTCATAATTTTTTATATAAGGTTTTCAACAGCTCAGTTTTTAGAACTGAACAGCCAGAATATCTGAACATAAAATTTGATTATACTGGTGAAGAGCTGTGTAGAACCAACCACACTTTTCAGAAGAACCAAATACAGAGAACAGGTGCATATAGTGTACTACATGGTCTCCAAATGATACCTCCTCAGGTTTTGAATTCAGTGTTATCCTTCTATTAGACTGGTTGCCAACCAAAGGTTAAAGAGGCCAGTCTGTTCTACTGTTTAACCCAGTGCTAGGGGGAGATGAGATGGTTTCTTACCTTTTCCAAGGGTATTTATTGATAAGTAAATATAATGAATTCAACAGTAATATGAACTCTGCTCAGAGTTCTTATTCTGAGCCACCATCCATTACACCACTTGTACATTGTTATTATTATATTCATCTAAGACCTAGAAAAATGATAATTGTTAAGAGACAGGTTTCATGAGTAGGGAGAATGGATCAGGAGAGTGATGCCTAATTACCTCAACATTTGTGAAGTATGAGGTCTAGCATTATCCTATAGCAGAAAATTTCCCTTTCTCTTTACCACTGCAGGCTAAGCCTTTTGCAACTTTGATGCATTAGTTCCAACACTACAACTTAGACTTTGTCATTATGGTCTGATGAGATTGCAAGAGGCTGTAAATGGATTCCATTACAGAACCACTAAACTTTCAGGAACTTATTGGGATGAAGATTTGGTATTAGAAAAGTCAAGGGAGTAAGTTTGTTGACCAAAGAAGTTCTTATTTCTGGTTATCATGCAGAAACTATTTTCATTAACAATAAACACATTAAGTTAAGGGTCACTTTTTTCAATAATAAGCAAATTGCAACAGTTGTCAAACTGTGCAAGATGCTGATCATCAGTAAAATCATGGGGTAGCCACTCCTGAATTTTCTTCAATTTGTCTTCTGACCGTTGTATGGGTTATCCTTAACTTTTCTTCTAATGCTTAACTATTTCAACCTTTCTATGGTTGTCCTAAAATCCTGTCATGTGACAACTTGCAACTACAATTTTGGAGATTCAGATCACTAGAAATTAATTTTTAGAATCAATAACACATGGTCTGTTCTGAAGCTGACTTCAGTATACAAACACTGTTGGTATTGCAAGTTGCTTCAGTAACACAATGACTGAATTTGAGCTCATGAAACATGACATGAAAATTGCATTTATTCATCTTTGCATCAATATCTTTATAAAGATAATCAAACAACCAAAATATGAAATGTAAAGCTTTATAATGATACACAAGATGTATGCATAAAAAGAAGAAAATGATGTGAAAAAAATGATTTCATTAATGCAGTGCAAGAACAACCATTAAGTTATCTGTATTGTAAGATATAGTTAAGACTGAAGACAGTTTGCATAGAGCTTCCTGCAGCTCCTCTTCCATGTTATTTGTTTTGTTTTCTCTGTCAAATCTTAATGCTTTTATTTAATTTACATTGTTTGATTTAACAAAGTTGAGCTGTTAACAGCCCATTACATTATTAATATTCCTTTTTCACTGCTTTCTTTTTCAAGGCTTCTCAATTGAAGTAAGCTTATTGTTAATTTCACTCAAAGGTGTTTTCTGTTGCCATAGCAGGATATGACAACACAATTATGAAATTCAAACAAATTCAAATTCAAGGATCACCTACAGTGGCAAGATAAATTTTTTGTACGGCAAATGAAGTCACATACAGTGATAAATACTAAATAAGACTATTTACATTATTTAAACTGTTATCCTCATTTTCATTGTAATATTCACAACATTTCGGCCATTGTACACTCCTGCTTTCTTCAGGTGATTGGAATTTCAAACCAAACCCTTTATTTCATCAACCAGGGTAGATTTTTCTAGTTCCATGTACCATGCATCTTCCCTGGTGGACAAAATAAAGGGTCCAGTTCTAAATTCCAATCACCGGAGTGTACAATGGCCAAATGTGAATATGGCAATGAAGATGAGGATAACAATCGAAATGATGTAAATAATCATAATACCTCATCTCAGAGATATAGACAGATAATAAGACTTTCTAAGAAAAAATTTAAAAAAAAAACTCTTTATGGTCATGTAGCCTAATTCCTCACTTGTTTTAAGTTTTAGAAGACCTTCAGAAATCTGTGCAATGTCTTTTCTTGATTACGTCTTTTGTATAGACATTTGCTTTATTTTTTTTTCATACCTGGCTGCTATCGACATGTAATTTTGGAATAGTCGGAATCCTTTTCAGTTCAACAAAACAAGTAACCAAGGTTGATTAGAGATGGGTTAATTCAAGTTGCTTTATTACAGCATAACAACAATTTCCTATTGTAAAGAACTATTTTTATTTCCCTCTCTTGCC